TTAGACCTTAAATCTCACATAGTACTTGAAGTTCTCACGGCTTGCGATTCACAGTTTAACCCTGTGGTTTAGGGGCATGACCAAATATGCACTAGAACACCGCGAAAATGTACTTAAATTTCATGTCCTTCAGTAATTCATTTTCAGTATGAATGTAATATGTATGAGTAGTCCAAAATGTGATAACTTGTTGGAATTCACTTCGCGCACAATCAATTGCGGCTCAGCTTCCGAAATGCTTATTCAGCATTATACGTAGAAAAGTCTCACGTACGTCAGCTTGGATACCTCCTGAACATCAAACACTGTAAACAGTGCTGAGTAATCGTAAAACAAAAAACAGTTGATCATTGCGAAAGTACTTTACTAACAACAAAATGTACTACTAACACTTAAGGTGGAAGCCTAAAACGTATCATAAAACTTCATGCAGTGCAGTGATCCACAAAAATTGGCATATATAGAACTGCTAAGCTATTCTTACTCATATTACGATGTTTCCTGGGCCTTATCGAATCTTCAAAAAAGGTGGTTAACTCTACTGGAACATTTGTTATCCGAGATCAGGATGCGAAGCAACAATCGAGCTAACGTGTAAACTACAAAGCAAAGAAAGGTTTGTCACTGCTTTTCGCAATAATATTGTGATTTTGTTGTGGCAACAGACTGCTTAAATATGAGAACACCCAAAATTCATGCAACTCAACGAATACTCAACCAACACACACTGATTGAAATAAGAAATGACTGCCCCATACCAAGCATTTTTAAAAGTTGTTTAGGTGAAGCGGTGGATAGCTTTGAGTGAACCTAACCTCTTTACTGTGTCGAGAGCAATTAATCGGAATAGTGTGGCTAGGACGTGCAAGAGTTGCCACTCCATGTAATTTATTCCTTACCACATTATATTTGTTACTCAATTCCCATCTCAAGTATGCCCTTCAGAAATTTTAAACATCGTTTAAATGACTGTCACGATAAGACGAGTTACTATGGAAAATGATGTGGCTTCCATACAAGATCTCACGGATCAAGTAGTCAAATCATAGAAAATCTGCAGTTTTTGGATTAGGTTTCTTATTCCAGTAGCAAAGATAACTACATTTAATGCCAACATAAGCCATAATTCTACAAAATATTTTAATAACTAGTGACTGTAACTGTTAAAAACAGTATCGTTCGCGCGTGTTCTTTTTCAATTTTTTACTGATATATAATCGGTGGTACTCCTTCCGTATGATCAAGTAACATTTTATACGATTTTCTTCGTCATCATACGCAACTGTTGTCAATTACTGTCTCGATAGGTTTGGGCCAAGACATGTGTAGCTGAACAAACCAACAGAACATAACTACGAGAATTTATGCAATTCAGGGGCTGAAGGTGATATTTCTGGAAGTTCAGAACCGTTATAACTACAATGGTTAACATCTTGATCATGGTCTTGGAAAACTGATCTCCTGAGTCCCAGCTATTTTTCGATGCAGGAATGTCTCCTCTAATTTTCTATCTCATGCCTTGACCTCTTCATGGGCACTTCATTTTCAGCAATGACCCTGAACAAATACAAAAAGTAGTCCACTACCTCATCCAAACCTTCACTACCACATGTCGCTGAGTCATTACTCTCTGTGCCGTACTTCAGTTTATCTTATTTCTACCTCTTGTATGTTGAAACGCATGTCAGCTGTATCCTTTACTACACTGACTGTTTTCACTGGCAGTCAGTCATCCAGCAGTGTCCAAGATACTCGCAGTATTCGAGCCTCTCCCCAAATCTTTTTTTCTCTATATGTAAGTAGAAAACCAGGTGAAGGAGAAAAGGCCAAAACAGGCGGCTTTATCTGATACATATTCACACTTGAAATGCCTCTGGTTGCTGCCCTCCATGAATGACTGCTAGTCAACCCCTCGCAAGAGTTCTGTATGATGGTGACAACCTCCTTTAAAGATATGAAGAGGATTTCGCATGGTTCTGTCCATTCCGTTTAATGTTTTCTTATAATTAGAGGTTCAATGTATAGGAATAGAGTTCATTCGACTGACCGTTCAGAAATGATATATCGTGTTATTATTTGGTCACTACATGATCTATCCACTGGAAGGCAGCTTGTCATTCTCGGAATTTGTGCGTCTACTTGGTCTCTCATTCTTCTGAGTAACATTAACAATGTCTGTAGTTCACACACTTATCGACATACCATTCCTAAGCTATACCGACAAATTATCTATTTATCCAGTCTGTTAATACTTATTCTTTCTTTTAGTTCCTTCTAAAGAGAATATTGGGTATCTTTGCAGTTACCCCTATATCTGACTTTGGTGCCCCAGTTGGTATGTTGTTTGTTCCTGTTGATTCGCTATTCCTAATTTATCCAGTGGACATGCTGATTTTCCCAATTGTTGTTCAGGCTGGGATGTCTTTGAGTTCTGCGTCGATGTCTGGTGGGTTCAGTGGTGCTGATCTTCCTAAGAGCTTTCCAAAGCGCTATGCCCGTTTGTCCCTTTTTTCTTGAAAATTAATGGTTGATGTTACTTTCACATTCATGACCGATAGCTCTCGTCAACTTAAACTCCTTGATAGCTTCTTGGTTGCATTATCTACTTCATATTCTATTCCTATTATAGCTTGTTCAACTGTTGTTTTTTCGACCCCCTACTTATTTCCTCTTTTCAGCTTTACTGCTTTTCTATACTTGTCGCTTTCTATTTATAAATCCAGTTTATAGCTTGGTTCCCTCTGTCCTTGTTGACCTATGTTTTCTTGCCTTTTCTTCCTTAAATCAAGATTAGGCTATCTACAGAGACTCATTATTTACTCTAGTGCCTCTTGCAGTTCAGCACTTCCTAGCACATTGGACTTATTGTGTCTTAAGATTCTTCCCGTTGTTCCAATAATTTCTCCATTTTTTTTATTCGATCTTATGAGTCTTGTGATTTATTGCTAATAGTTACTTTGAACCCTCTGAATTTATTGATATTTTGAAGTAAGATTGTACTAGGCCGTTACTAATGACCTTAAACTATGACACCTCCTACGTTTGTTCTTATGTCTTCCACGAACGTTCTGAATATTTCACAGATACAAATATGGTTGTTATGGTTTTCTGCGATGTATTTGGAGGACTACCATAAAAACCTTTTGCATGCTTTGATTAGGGAAAATTATGCTACCTATAATCATTTTAAAGAAATCACATATATCGATCAGCCTTTTGTCATTCTTGGTGTTTTTTCCACTTCATGTAGCTCCGTGATGTTTTCATTCACGGCGCTGTCTTGACGTTCCGTTCCTCCATCATGGTGGTCAGGCCCTTTCCTGGGACGGGGTACAATCTTTAATATGACTGACTTTCAGGATCTTCACTGCCACAATTAGTGAGTGAGTCGATTTGAGTGACAGCCATTGTAATTTATTCCTTCTTCGTTTCAAATAATGCTTTTATGATCTTGGATCAATTGGTCTCCCAAACTCTAAGACCATTTATTGCCTCTTTGGACAGCATCAGTTCAACCCCTTTGTGCGTGTGCCACATTTTATTATTTATGAACAGAATATAATATCAGACTTCCTGAAGTTAGTCTCCCTGCCAAGATATTTTCCAGTATGTCTCATCTATTTTGACCATGTCCAGGTTGTACCTTCACATTTTGGTTACCATCTGAGTGATCCCACCACCCTCCCACAATGTCCGGATATTCCTTTTACTTATGTTAATCCTTTCTCTAGTTTTGAGAAGGTACATCAGACTCATGACTTCCCGGCTTTCACCGTGAGGTGTCATAATTCCTGTGTGACGACCTTTCAATTCCGGCTAAAGATTTGAATGTTTAAAATAATTTTTAAGGTAAGCGTTGTTGAAGCAAGATAACCTGTTACTGGATAATATATCCAACAATGCTACCAATTCTCTTCCACTACCAAGTATTGAGTAAGGTGACATCTTAAAGTGCCCAATATGTAGCAAGCTTTGTGGGTATCCCACGATGAACTTTCATAGATTTAATTCTCTTGCTGTAAATAAATCCCCAAATCAATCTCTTTGTAAGTGTTCGACATTGGATGCTGACCACATTAATTTTAGTGGACTCGTTTAGCTGAAGGCACTCGTTCATACATCCGTACCAGATCACGATTCGGAACAGCTTGAGCAACATCTCCTGCGATCATTAGCCACATTAGATCATTCTCTCCTCGATATATTAATAACCCACTAAATATATCTTCCAACCTTTTCGCTTCTGACTTTTGATTCTACTAGGGAGGGGCGATTCAATTATAGGTGTTAATGGTGAAGTATTGTCAAACTACAATACCTGTGGTATCTCCAATCCTTAAAACAGTCCTTCTAGATCAGTGTCTCATTTGTAGAAGCCTGTCGTAAATCACTAATCATGCCCTTGGAACTGATGTGGACCTTCTTCTTCCGAAATTGTTAATACGAAATAAAATGAGAAATCATATATCGTTTGAAGTTAGCCTTGGGTGTAACACCCAAAACATTTAATTTGATTCTGGCCTAACATTGACCATTGAAATATTACATGGAGTTTATAATCATGACATGTCATGTTGACTATACGCTTCTAAATATTCCAGAGAAACGGTCAAGTCAATGAACTTATGTCCATTTTCTTTAGCTCAAGGAACTTTTCTTAAATCATTAAAAACGAGACTAAATATCTTCATAAAAACCTAACATTGTGTAGGTATCGATACTCGGGTTAGATTTGATAATCTCGAATAAATTGAGCATTCAGTAGAGTTAATAATAAATACACGTTTTTATTAACTCTGAAGAAGCGGCTTGCATGAAGTCATGAAACGTCAGAGATACAATTTCTCTACTCACTGAATTTAAACAAAACAAAATAATAATCAACACTACCTTATACTGATGCAATAAATATTTATTTCTTATGACTTATATTCTTACACCTGTAGACAGACATTATTGATAACTCCTGTGAGACATTGGATACTTAGGCCGAAGTAGCGGGTTTTTAGTACTTGTGAGCTACGTGGGTTGTACTGTCAAGTTTGTCTCGTATTATTTATTTGGTGGCGAGACTATAATTTATGAACGAAGTAATCGGGCGAAAGATAACATGTTTAGCATTTTGGCCAGATAATCATTCATCCATTAGGCAAAATACTGTTTTGGCATTATAGCTGATATCAGTTCGTGATGAAAACTCTAAATCTTCTTCCTAACCTTAACTGTGATATGTAAATCATAATCCTAATTCATCATACAGGTTAATTATCTTCATTTGATCTTAATTATCTGGTGAACACTCTTAAGCTCACTTTGGGGTCGCTCAAACGTCGTCAATAAATTATAGTCTCACCACACTTTTTTATTCGTCTTAGTCTTCTGTGTATGTATGAATGCAACAAATGTGGCCGCAAGTAACGTGCATCCAATTTTTGCTTTACCGCGTGATTTATGGCTCGTCTGAGTGTATATGATCATTTTCTGTATTTGTGGGTGGAGTATAAGCCAATATGCCTCAGCTTAACGCTCAAGTCTTATTTTGTGCTAGGTCTTGTTATGTTCAGCATCTGGTGACATAATAAAAGGTCTGACTACTACGTGTCTTTTGCCATGCTATGTTGTGTGGTGGTCATTTCTTACTTATCTGACAATGTGGGATCTCGATTATTTTACTGCCTCTTCCCGAAACTAAGTAAAAGTTTTGTTTGGAAAAATTTAAAATACAATATTTTGGACTCCTTGATCAATACCTAGAGAGCATTTAAAGTTTCCCTCCCTAAAGTGTAGAATGATGTCTCTGATTTATGGCAGTTACTAGTTTAGCTTTTGAGAACGACGTAGTTGAGTGTCCTGGTAACTCAATTTACTGTAAAGTTCTTTCAGCTTTTATGGGTTGGTGGCTAATAAACCCTCTTCGCAGGTACAAAAGGCTGGTTTTGCCTATTTTAATCATGGGACCTGCTGGACATACAATTCGTTTTTCCGGTCTATTCAAATCTCGAATTAGGTGTCATCTTTAATGCTCCATACGTTGTTCGCATTTATTCCTCTCAAACTGTATTTTAGTGGTTGTCTTGCCAAGGTCAGTTCATGATTTAAACCAACGAGTCGCTGCTTCTTCGAGCGCCTTCTAATGACGCTTGGTTTCGTATAGCCGAACCGGATGCTTGATCTAGTGGTCAACTAGCCAAGTGAAGGTTCTAGTCAAATATTTTTTTACTATTCATAGTTTCTTACAAAACAACTGAAACTAACATCAGAGAACGCTGAATACAATTCAATGCGAACGAATAAAGATATACTAACAATTCCTGCACTGTCTTTAGTACTGCAACAAAAGCAGAATATTTTTTATGTGGTTGGAAATTAAAATCATGACACATACGCTGATTACTCATTGTACTGATTCTTTCAGGTTCTATATATTTAGTTTGCATACTAATAAACTAAATGGTAAATTTAAAACGATGTTATGGATAAGTAGAAACAAATATTTATAAATTCCAAAGTTTCAAAAACTATAACGATCAAAATACACTGATGGTATGGAAAGGAGTTACAATTATGTAATATGTCCGAAAGTAGATCCTATAATATTGGCAATAAATGACTATGTATTCTAGAGCTTGAAGCTAGATGTTATATAATTGTATCATATGAATACGTAAGTTAATGGTAGTGAGGAAAAAAAATGCAATAAACCCACTAGTTTCTCGGTATCTTCTGTCTGTTGTTTTTTAATTTCTCAGTCTGAAAAGGAATTCATTGAAAGCTCTATTAAATATCTGAAGTTAAACACTAGCAGAGGTGCCTTGTTTCTAATATAACTGTAAAGAACTTTCAAAAAAGGAATCGCAGTACAATAAGTGTAGCAGTAACCAGTTGGACTGTTTGACAATAAATTTTCTCACAAATTATTAGTCTTCTATCGGTTTGGAAATGTTTTTTAATATTCAATTTTAACTACTACAGCAAGTAAATAACAACCAGATATGGAAACGGTACTTGAACAGCAACGTCGCATCCACGAAGAGCGGGAAAGACTAATAAATGAATTGACGAAAGAAATGCTTTATAATCCAACCACAGTAAGCTGTTGTTCAATCGACTGATTTTTGTTTTAGCATAGAGAAAAGTTAAATTCAGAGCTTCGTTTAAGACTTATGTATGATGTAAGTGAGGCATTTACTTTTATTTTATCATTATAGAGGTATTTTGATGTAACACAAGAACTAAGAGATCTGTATGAAGATAAAGATGGGCAAGTTTATATCCTAGTTTTTCATATAATTTCTATAGTCTACGTAAGGCTGATATACAAACACTTTCCGGTCCAAATGAATTTAACGAGTTTTATGACAGATTAAAGCAAATTAAAGAATTTCATCGCAAGCACCCTGGCGAGGTAATTTACTTGAACAATGTCGCTGCTAATCGTTACTTAATAAGATATGTGTCCCAATGTCTGCCGAGTTTGAAAAGTACAAAGAAATGAGAGAAAGACCAGAAGAAGCAAATGCTGTACTTATTGACTTTTCAGATGAAGAAGGCTATGGCCGTTATCTGGATTTACATGATGTGTATAAGAAATATCTGAATGTAAAAGGTGTTCCAGTAAGTCACTTTCAGTGGTTTTAATGGTTATCAATTCTATGTAGCGCATAGATTATCTCACTTATATCTCCTTCTTCGACCGATTGTATGATATATCTCGTGATAAAAAAGGAATAGCATATAAAGCGTGAGTGCCTTTACATATTTTATAACTCATTACTAGTTACCTCGAAGAGTTGCTTGGCTATCTTGAAAATTTCGTATCGCGTGCAAGACCTATAGTGGATTTAGAAGAGGTGAGCTAATTTGCAATGTTACATTTCACTATTACTTCCAACTCTATTTAAAAATATGTTCATGTGTTAATTATCCAATTTTGTGAACCTTCAGGAAACTAAAGAGGCGCTTGCTAAATTTGAAACACAATGGACTCAAGGAGCGTTTCCTGGTTGGGGTCGTGAGGCAGCATCTGCCTTAGCGCATGGTGGTGCTCATTTGGACTTAACCGCTTTTACAGCCTGGGAAGAACTTGCTTCACTTGGACTTGATAGGCTTAAATCAGCGTTACTCGCGTTGGGCTTGAAATGTGGTGGAACTTTGGAGGAAAGAGCTCGTCGCTTATGGGCTACAAAAGGGAAATCACTCGAAGAGTTACCTGCAGATCTGTTTGTTACAAAACAACGCTCGACTAAAGGTTTCGCTAAGACAGCTGCATGGGGACATGTACCTCCGTAAGTAATATTCCTCTTTTAAATAGTTAGAAATTGATGTAACGATAAAAAGTCGGGTTCTTGAATTGGATCTGGTTCTGTGTAACCGAAGCGCTGTTATAGGGTCAGCTGTACTACTTATTCCGACTGGTGACTAGTTCGCCTCTATCGCCTGTAAGGGCTAACGATTTTATTTTAGCCAATGGCGAAATGACCTACCTTTGACCAACAAGCCAATGATAGTGAGATAACGACTGTGACTAATACTTAACGCTTATTAGTTCCAAGTGAAACTTTTCATTCTCGCTTACTTGATAGCCAAAGTAAAACAAGAAAACAGCAGACAAACTAAATTCCGTTGTATAGTTCAGTCCATAACTTGAAACTCACATGATAATATCAATTAATTACCTGACTACTAACCAATATCAATACGAAATATTGTGGGCATAACTACACTATAAGTGGATGAAAACTAGTTAATAGGTTCATAATTAATTAACAATAACTTAGGGAATGTGAAACAAGGAACGAGAATTTATTTACCCCACGATAGCTGACAAGCGGGAGATCATAAGAATGTAATAATAATTGTACTATAAAAATATAACTAATAATTCGCAAAATAGTCCCATAAGTTACAACTGTTTCAGTGTTCTTCCTGTTATAGCGATATTAATATCAATTTTTTACTTTTTTATTTATAGAGCGCTATCTGAAAAGCTAAAAGAAATTGCTACGCTAGAGGCTAGGATATATAGACTCAGTGAACTGGTCAAAGAGCATCGCGAAGCTACCATTGAGAACGTACAACGTCGTCAGGCACGAATAGGATTCGAACGAGATGAAGATGATACAGATGCAGATAAGGATGCAACAGGTGCAGAAAACGGTCAGAATGGTGAAGATGATGATGACATTCCTTATAACCCTAAGAATCTACCCCTTGGATGGGACGGGAAAGTTAGTTTTTTAATTTCCTTAGCTTGTATAAAGTTGAACCTAACGACCAATAATCCTTACTGACTAGTGTTGGTGATGGTTGGAAGAAAGCTAGGGGCGGCCTAACCAAAACGTGGCATCAGTGCTTGAAGTCACTAACTTCTAGTCTGATCCATATTGGTCCGCGTGACTATCTTAACCACTGGTTGGAGACTTTGGGTGACATGGCTAAGAATCGATCACAATGTCGTAGGTGTATACACTCTTTGTCTTCCCTTAAACCATGAGATTAAAGCTACTGTATACCTTTCTACGAACTAATCCCCCCCTGTATCATATCCTTGTACACAATCTTTTATTTATTACGACCATTGAAGTAACTACTTCTATGAATTCGGTGTTCATCTTGTTGTGCTGATGAGGTGTGGCAACTTAGGCCGGTGCATATAAGTGCCTGGTCCTACATTGTAGCTGAATGACTGACTGACGTCGGGTTAATACATATAGTAACTCTCTCATGAACGGATGAAGAAGGAATTCTCAGTGCTTCGATGTAATCTTAAATGCTATTCTTTGGTATACGAAAGTTTTATTTTTGTTATTTATTTGAACACATAAATATTGGTAGAAAGTGGAGCAACGTTAGGAGATTCACTCCCATGGTAGCCACTGACCGACAATTGATTCATACGCCATTTGTTCCCTCAGTGTCTTGGAGCTCATGTGCACTATTGGTTTGGGATCAGGGTTTCGCAACTCACATGAGTGGATCCACCAACCCAGTTAAAGCGCAGGACATTCGCTTTTCATCCTCTTAATTTCATAAACGACAGTAATGCCGCTAGAAAGTAGTGAGTAGGACTTCCCTGACAGTGACTGTATACATGTGACCATGTGTGAGCATTTCGAGAGGAAGAGCGGACTCTCCCTACCCTCGGTCGTACCAGGGCATTTGGTGACGTTATACAAAAAGCGACGATAGCGTGGCTTTCTATGACCTGCCTGCTGTCCGATATGCATAATCAGCATCAAATGCTGAACAATAAATGTCTGAAGTCCGAACTTCATACGTCGCTTCAGAGTGGCTAGATTAACTATGAAGTTCTCCAACGATTTTCACAAATCGACTGTTTAGCTACTTAAGACCATTTAGATTGGACAGAAAGTTTGTTCAAGACAAATTAATGATATACTTAGCAAAGCTGGATAGATCACATGTGAATAAAAGGTGAGTAGTGCAAGTGAATTTATAAGTATCAATATGATCAATGAATAAATAAACATGATAATGCAGTGTAAAAGCTATAATATTGTGTTGTGTGATGTAAATAGTGACAACAAAAGATGGTGTTACGTCTACAGGATTCGTGCAAATAAGAAAATGTACAGAATTAGTAAACTAACATTGGATTGTATTATGAATGAAGTAAGATAATTAAAATGCTTTTTTTTCTCAACAATTACGAATGAAATCATAGGGGCATGAGAAATAGATAGGGACCTTTTCAAATGAAAAGTTAATGAAATTGATTTTATATAACAATAATATTAGTAGTAGTCTAAGTCCACGGCAAAAATAAGGACAATAAATACTTCTTTTGTACATAAAGTTTGGGCTTTACTTCATAGATTGTAAGAGTTTGTGTTGCTTTAAGGAGTTAAATGTTAGTAAATCTTGGTTGACTCGAACGAATTCTATGAACAACCATAAAATCAACATGTTGATCAGTGGAATAATTAGAGTCATCCAATGTTCAATGATCAGACTCCTAACTGGTTTCCTCTTATCCTTGTAGGGCGATACTGGAATATGTTTTCCTATCTGTGTTGAAAGCAAGCACTGGCTTCAAACCTATTTACCTTGCTTCAAAAAAAACAACAGATGAATTGGTAGTTGCGCATAAAGTCAACTAGATGAGTAAGCCTACCTATTACGGCTACGGGAAATAAATGTTTGTTTGTGGATTTTAATCGACGTTTTACTATATAGAACGTTCTTGTAATTGCTTTGAACAACAGATTCTTATACACATCAGAGGTTTAGTCACTTTTGAATTCCAGATTCATATAATGATATTTCTTTGAGATGGACTTTCTCTGGGATCCCTTGTTTCGACTTCCTTTTATGTTCTCTGTAAAGCAGCTTGTATAGCCGTTTTCAACTTGTGTTTATCTAAAGATTTTCAATTTCTAACTCGACACATTTAGCAATACAGATCCTACATATTGAATAACATAAAAAAACGAATAATTTTCCTATTTCTCTGTCAACTAGCTCTTCACTGAATTTCATATTTTTAATATTTAAGTGAGAATTATGAATAAATAGACATTGTGTCTAATTTTTTTTAATTTTTATAAATCTAGCCTATTCCATATTGGTTGTACAAATTGCATGGATTAAATATGTATTATAGCTGTGAAATATGCGGTAATCAAACATACCGTGGTCCTAAAGCATTTCAACAACATTTTTCTGAATGGCGACATGCTCATGGTATGCGATGTCTAGGCATACCGAATACAATTCATTTCGCTCATGTAACAAAAATTGAAGAAGCTTTAGCTTTATGGCAACGAATAAGAACAATGAAAGAAGCTGAACGTTGGCGTCCAGAAGTAGAAGAAGAATTAGAAGATTCCGCCGGCAATGTTGTATCTCGTAAAACTTATGAAGATTTAAAACGTCAAGGTCTTCTTTGAAAAAAATGTCTTGAATAAAATTCTTTCTTGTTCTTGTAATATTGTACACTTGTGAAATATAATTTTATTTTAATGTATTTGTTCTATTGTTCAAAATAAGATGGATTTTTTCTGCAAAAAAAAGATTGAGTTTGTGTTTTTAAGCATCTAGGAAAAAAAATCAATCTGAAATGGTTTGAATTATCTTGTTTTTAATATTTATGACTGAAATTTGATCAGTCTCGGGTTCGAGTCCTGGAGTGAATATCAACTCCGGGATGCAGGTACACCCAATTGACGAACCTCAAATAGTACAAAACGCGTGTCCTGTATTCTAATTCTAACCCCACTCCATCTATTCTGTATCAGCCTCAAAAAAATGTTTGTTGTAGTATTTCTTCACAATTTTGTATGTAATTTATACTGTTGTTTTGTCTCTGAAAATAAGTATCTTGTAATTTATTCACCTAAGTACGAAACCATTTTTGTTTCCAATCAAATGGTTATCTCTGTAAATAGGAATGTTATTTCGTATTTGCACTACTTGGGAAATTACGACTTCAATAATCTGCTAACTTAGTTTACAGTTGTTAGGTACTTTTAATAACTAGTTGAATTGGAACCAGTAATCTTATACTGTTGTACATGGAATATGATACACAAATCTACATCTATTTGTTATAATGCTACTGTAATGAAATATTGAGTAGTAGCTTAGCTGCTTAAGTACTGGGCTTTCAACTAGTAGATTGGTTTTAGGTTCAAACCTCGCCCTACCCAATTGGATTTATATGGATGAATATTATCTCTAACCTACAAAAATAGTATCACTATGTTCTAAAGTATGTTTTTATAATTTTATAAACCAATTTCCGATTGTTAAAATTCATGGAAAGAGTGCTAATCAATAGGTGATATGCAATTTGGGTTGAGTAATACCTGCCCACGAAACCGTTATATTGATTCAGACCCCTCAAATAATTTGAAATCAAAGACAAAACCATTAGGCAGTAGAATAAGTTGTTTATCTAATAAAATGTCCATGCATATTTACAAAACATTTACACAAAATAAATATGATAAATTGTCATAAGCGATTCGAAGGATTCAATTCTGCAGGTCACTTATCCTTCAATCAATTAAAATTTCATCCATCTTATCACCTGCTCCATAAAATGATTCTAGATCCTTCATCTATTGATTAACATCCTTTCTATTTGTTTCAGCAATCAAAAATTTGTTCAGAAAATCATTCAAGTCCTGCTCCGTGACAAACTTAAAACTCGAGTTCATGAAACCTGTACTTTGTAAATGAGTTAGGAATAAAGCTTACTCCTCTATTAACCTTTTATTTTCCCAAATGAGTAGAACATGTGAAAATTATTTTGTAATACTTAGATTTCTTACTGACTGTTTAAGGGAATAAATTCATCCACCCTCTGTTTTTGTCATCATTTCAATGAACATTGTTAGTGGTTGTGTTTGTTATGAGTGTTAAATAACCATTTATCTATTATCATTTTAGATAGTAAAATAATATAGATTATTATAAATCAATAATGGAAATTGATATATCAAATAACCCTTCACATGAAACAAATATGGATACTACTTCTGAATTGGAAGGCACCATTACAGAAAATGCTGAAAAACATAAAAATCAAATCGTGAATACTGAAGATTTAGTTACTACCACCTGTAATGATGATAATGCTTCTCTCGAAATGGAAACTTGCACCGATTTTGAAGTAAGTAGTTCTCTTAAGTTTTTGTTTTTAATAGAATTTAAAAAGCAAAGGTAATCTGTGTTGAACAAACCCAGACTTCTCATGATTATAGTTTTGTATTATAGGTTTATACATACAGTTAATACAAAAATGCAATTATTTTGAATCTAGGCTAATCTGATTAAAAAGGATTTTGCCGAATATGGGATATTCAGAAAAGAATTGTAAATTGTTGATTGGTTATTTTGAAAAATAAAATTTTGAAAACACTCGTCGTCCCATTATATTGTTTCAGTATTGAAAAATGACTTTTTGACTGGAAGCACTCGGATTTCAACCAATAATTCATAGGTTCAAACACCGTTTCACCTAATTTTTTTTCGGACAGGCTTCACAACCTCAGCAAAACATATGGCTCAAGGTTGAGTACTCAAACGTTTACTTCACAAATAAGTTAAATTAAGCTCTCTATCTTTGAGTACAGTATTGTATTATTTTATATTTTTTGCCGCTAACGGAAATGTAAAGGAATGAGCTTAAAACAACTGTGACTAATTTTCGGCTAATTTCTGGCTAATCAGAAAGTAGCTTTCATATATGGATAGTTTATGGATAAGAGAACAATAAATTTGCAAAGTGTAAATAGATTTTACGCAGTTAATAAGTTTATTAATGTTTTCTACAGGTTACTCTGCATGTAGGAAAAAACAAACAGCTGCGTATGAACTCTTCCTAATTGATATAGACTATTCATCTTGAATCCATAAAAAGACCTAAGCAGATTTTTTACTGCTGATTAGACGTATTTAAACTGCACGAAATCCTTAATATGACGTTCTCTATCCTAATTAGCTTGTCCCTTGAGTACACTTATACCTTTTTCTTCATATGAGTTTAAGGATTGTCTTTCTTTTTTTACATATTTTTAACGGTTACTGATACTACTTACTACTTTAATTTTCATTTTGATAATATCATCCCACTGTGTTGAAGTGTTGTGGCGACCTAAACCACTCAATATATATGAAAGATTCCATGTTTATAACTAACTGACTGGTTTGTCATTTTGAATCTGCTAAAGCCATCCTGTGTTGTTCCAGACATTATAGGTTAGTGAAACCTAAATGGTTTTTCTGGATTAAAATCCGTTTTTCAGGCTCACAAACATACCATGTGGATGTAATTGCGTAGGGAAATCGTCAAAACTCCCTAAGTCTTGGCGCGCAGGCATCGCACCAGGATTAATGACCCGTTACACACATACCGGTAACATATAGATTTTCACCCATGCATCCCATGGTATACATATAGGCATATTCGCCTCCTTAACAAGGTAGATGATCACCACTTCCTTTATTCGTATTTGCTACTACTTACTGCGTTATGCGTTACATATCACTGGTACACAGACTCGTTCGTGCAACTCATGGCATGCACCATGAGCATAAGAACTGTCAAGGAGAGTTTGTGGTCACATCTCCCTAATGTTTGCTACCCAGAAATTTTTTATTTTTGTTATGTCTTCCATCTGTTGAGTTTGCCGCTGATTTTATAAGACAGGATAGACGTTTCAGCTAACGTTACCTTTAGTGACCTGGCGCATACCATTTGCATATACCTGAAAACACAACTACACAAGTTGGGACTCGTTCAATTCATATACATAAGCATACACATCAAGAAGCTCTTCACGATTTTAAAGCCTCGAAGTTGAAATCCCAAGTAATTCAGGTTCAGCAGAATGGTAGATTAGTCTGATCTCCACCGCCCGCCCAAGTTAGCTAGGGAGGTTGCGGGATCATGAATACGCACTGCTGAGTAGTCAAATACTAGGACGAAACGGCCGTCTGGTATCTCCAGATTTTCAATGGTGGTCTAACATTAGTCCATTCATCATACCACTGTAAACTCAAAAAAATATGACTTCGAAATCATGCCATCATTTTATAATCAGTCAGTCTATCTCGTCCTCTTTATATTATATACTTTTACCAAAACAATTATTTAATCTAATATTGTTGTTTTGCTTTCATATTTCTTTAATTTTAGTCCATTTCAATAGATGTGAAGAAACCAGACGAAAACACTTTAACTACACCGAATATATATTGCCCTCCAAGTTGGGCTTTAAATTGTCCTCCATCTTTAGATTATAAATTAGAAGTTATTAAAAATGGTTTACAACTTTCAGAGTGTACAGTCTGTTTATCATCTCCTTCAGATATAAATTTACAATCCTCATGTGATAATGGTTTAAGTTATTGTTTATTTGGACGTCAACCTCAAGTAAATTATGCACAATCGGGTACTATGAATGGACAATGTTCAGTACTTGCTCATCCTTCAATAAGTCGACTGCATGCTGTATTACAGTATGGCAAACCACCGCATTCTGTGGGTCATGTATCAGAAAATGAAAAAGATACTACTGGATGGTATTTGAAAGATTTAGAAAGTACTCATGGTACTTTTGTTAATAAGGTTAGTTGTGAAATATAAATATCACAAATTTTAATCATGATTGACTACACTTGAATCGCTAAATTTGTCGATTATTCCTATTACTCGCTATTACTATATTTTTCATGTTAGAGAGTAGTGTTTGATACATATCAACTCACTGAAGACAATTGATGAACGGTCGCTCAAAATCGTGGATCAGTTGAAGTTAGACATTAACACCTTTGGATGCCGGCTCAGTGGTCTATCGGTTAAGGGCTCTGGCTCGAGACTGGTAGGTCCTGAGTTCGAATTTCGCGAGAGCGGATTCGTGGATGCGCACTGCTGAGGAGTCCCATAACAGGACGAAACGGTCGTCCAGTGCTTCCAGGTTTTCGATGGTGGTCTAGCTTTAATTAACTCATAATTTCAACTATGAAAAATGCTAAATTCTCCACAAAATATTAACACACTGTTGGAATAAGAAAGAAAAATATGCTCTCGGAATGTAATCCCCAAAAAATCATTCGAAGTTATAATAAGTCCAAGTTTCAGATCAATCAGTTAACCATAGCTACGATTATGTAGATCGAATCACTCATCTAATTATAGGAATGACAAGATGTAAAAAATTAAAAATCAAGTAATCTGAACAGAGAAATGAGAAGACAAATTTTGTGAGATAGTACCATTTTATGCTTTCTCGTCAGTCACATACAAGCAACATGTTATTCGTGTAAATACAGTTTTGAAGATAAGGTCAAAATTGTACTAAATAAGAAATTTTGACCTTATCTTCAAAACTGTATTTACACGAATAACATGTTGCTTGTATGTGACTGACGAGAAAGCACGAAATGGTACTATCTCACAAAATTTGTCTTCTCGTTTCTCTGTTCAAATTTATCAAATGGAACCACTGTTTTGAATCAAGAAATCATAACAGACAATCAATATATACATATGGAAGTATGCATGATTTAAATACTGAAAATATTCTTAAGTTGTTAAGTTCTTTTACCCACGTAGAAAACATTTTTCGTAGCCCAACTTCTCCTGCGAGTGTATTACTTGTTGTGTGGTGTGTGCTACTGATGTCGACAGATATAAGTAGCATGTATCATCAGTTGTAAGTGAAATGCCTGGCGACAGAACGTTAAGAAGATCGAAGAGAAGAGAACGAGAGCAGTGAATGATTGTTGTAGAAATGACGAAATAATCAAGTCTGAGACAATTGATTGACATTTTGCAAATGAAGTATTTACTGTTTGGTTCCCGAATTTTACTATGAAATTCTGTAATTTTGTATTCAAATACATTTGGTTGTCCCTGCCTGTGTTATCATTCACTACAGTAGTACAATGATGTAATCTTATACTGTCAGTCAGTCATAGTCACTTAATTAACCATTTATCTCAAAGAATATAAATTGTCTGAAATCTATAATTCAAGCACTATTGGAAGACTAATAATTCACACTCAATATTACTATTATGTACTACTAGTGTTAGATTTAAGTCTTTAGATTCATGGATAAATTCTATCTACTTCTATAATTAAAGTTATCATATTAGACCTGTCATCATAGAATTTAATAACTTACTAGTCTGTTCATCTCAATCATTGTTTTGCGATAACTGAGCATGGATTTCTGTTTACTACACAAATTTCTATACCTATTAAATTATCACCACTAGTGTTTTACTTTATTTCACACTGTCTGATAGTTCTCTTATCGAAATGTGGAATAGGGAGCCTCCTGACCAGTGGTGGATATATTTTTTGTGACAACCTTCTAAAATAAACAGATCAACATTTTATGCTTCATATAACTTCTGGTTTCAAGCTAAAATGTTTTTCATTGAAAGCATAAACTACCTTTAATGTGATTACAACTGGGTTAAGGTAGGTAGATAATCAATGCAACCTGGGATTTTCTGTGTCCGAGTGTAATACTGATATGCAGTCTTCCTATACATATATATATATATATATATATATATATATATATATATATATATATACCCTAGAACAACGAACCACTAATAGTGTACGTCTCATTCTTTGGGAATGAAAGCCACTTCTTGGTCAATCGTATGTTTTTATCATTTGACCGATCTCTGATTGATTCAGTGCATCAGTATCACATATATTTTAGTAAAGTAGATGATTAACCACCGTCGCAGTTATCTACAACTTATACTTACCCGTACTATTCTTTAAGGTTTGTTATTCATTCAAGCCCAGTGTTAACTATTGGTTCAAATCTGTGATTTCATAATTCATGTTGATATAATGCTCTTTTTGTTTATTCTAATCATTTTTTTTATCATAAAGCGACGTCTACCCCCAGGAAGATATGTTCGTATTCGTGTTGGTTATGTTTTACGATTTGGTGGTAGTACACGTTTGCATATTCTTCAAGGACCAGAAGATGACATTGAACAGCAAACTTCACAATCTTGGTTTGATTTGAAGAAATCTCATGAAGAGTATAAGATGAATTCTAAAATGGAACGCAATATTTCATCAATACAGAATTCAAATACTGTCAAGCTTGAATGTAACTGGGGAATGTCGTGTAAGTTAAGCTGATTTTAAAAAAATCTTTCAGGAAGTTATGGTATATCAAGAGATGCCAATATGAGAATAAGAATACTTTGTTACAAAAGAAGTAACATGCAAAATAGATGCCGCTTTATTGACAAGGATGTAATGTTATGATATTTTAAGACGTCAACATTTATTGAATGGACTATTTCACTTTGTGTGATCTGAACTATACCAGTACTGAATACATTCAGTCGTTCTTAGGCAGCTATAACCGAATAAAAATTATGGTTACATAGATCAAGTTATATAAGGATAGAGTGAAATAGTTCTCATGGTAGCATTTTTCACTGTATCTTTTAGGGTTAAACATAAACTAAATTAACATGAATTACTGTGGGTTTTCCTGTAAGTAAACCGTCCTTGTTTGTTGGCAGCGTTCTGTCTTACCAGTGATGCAACTTCCCAAATGCATCAAGTTCTTAGTAATAAAACAAGGTAAAAGTATAATATACTGTCAGCCTTAACCTAACCAATCAAAATTAAGATAACGCCTCATGTATTTTGTACGGATTTTCAAAGTGCAGTGATAAATAACTTGTATGTTATTACTAACGAAATGAATATTGGCAATATTTGGTTCCTAAGATGCTTAAAATAAATAAAAATATCTATTATGCAACCAAAAAGTGAAATTTAGTATATGCTTAAGCTACATGCTCCTAAGGCAGATTATATGTTAAAGTACTTGGTGAGGCTAGATAATATTTTCCCTTTCTTATTCTTAATCTAAATGTCAGTCCTAAGTTTCTCAACTTTGTAAACAAAAGGGTGGCAAAACATTGCATTATAGCTGGTGTCAGTTCATGTTGAAAACCGTAACCCTAATTTGTAAACTTATTTCAAAAACTCCGGTTTAACTGTTAAAATCTAACCCTAACTGTTTTGCATCGTAAAGGAAGTCAGTTTGTTGCGAAAACTCTATAAGGTGGTAACCTTTGCTCACAACATTAGCCAGACTCCTGATATGTATGTACATGTGCAAAATCGACCCTTTTTGTTAACTACAAGGAATAATTTGACATGTTAGGGTTAATTATTCAGATCAAAGCTATTATCTCACTGTTATAACTGGACAGCTTTTGCTGATTAGCTGATAAATGTCACAAGGTCATCAGTATATTGTACTTTTACCACTAGTAAATTGACTTTAAAAATATAAAAATAATGTTATTCTTTAAATGTAAAGTAATTTCTCAATCAACTACAGTTTTATATACTTGAATGTGACCAATATTTTTCATGTGATTCTTGGTGTTACTATTTGGTTTCTCAAGTTAGTATGGGGTGGTTTGAAATTGTCGGCTTAAACATTATCCAGACTACTTATAATATATTGAATATGCACTCATTGCTTGACATTCAAATTATCTTGAATTATTTTTATGCACTCATAATATTTGCTCGTATAGGAGTAGGTACATAAAAAGCTGTGAGTAACCTAATCAAGCAATCGACCGTTGGAATAAGCTGAGTATTTAGTTACAAACTACATGTTTGAGGTTCTCGTGATAACTGCGTCTGGTGGTTGGATACGTTAGGTGACTATGGCTTAAAATCAATCACATTGTCACCAGTGCATTCACTCTCTGCCTCTCCTTCAATCTTAACTTTTAAAGTTATCTTGTACTTTTTAAATTTTAAGTATTTATTATTTCTTCTCCAATCACTTTGTTTATCCGTTCTGTTCTCTACTACGACTAATACGGTTAGTACTTTTGTTACTTTAGTGTTTGTATTAGTAATCTCATCTTGCTGTGTTGATTCAGTGTAAGGGGTACTTAAGTTAATGGATATATGTACCAGGTTCTACTTTGCATATGACTGATAAGTTACTATTGTTTCGAAAAGTGACCATTATTTATTTTGGGGATGTAAAATCGGATTTTGAAATTCCCTATTGAAATCCCCTATTCAAGGTTTATTTGCTTTCAAGAATATTATAAATGTTTTTGTAAGAGATTACTGTTTGCTTAAATCAGTCGTCTTCCATAATCTCTTCCAATAGGCCTTCAAATCTGAATTAACCTTTATGATTAACCCTTATCTAGTGAAACAATAAAGATCTGTCGTACCAAATTCATTTGAATTATATATATATACATCACAGCATTTAACTCATACAAATGTGATCACTTGTAATGTCTTTAAAAAAATTCAGTTCCCTGTAAAGCAATGCTAATCTTACCAATATATATGCCAAAAAAACATAATTTTCATTAAATTTTTCAATAAATCTAATACTTAGTAGAAGATCCTGTCTCTGAACCAATTCCAACTTTATTACAATCTGGAACTTGTTTAAGTCATGAAAAATTATATCGTGATGATCCTAAACGGGCATTGAATGCATATTTTGAACGAGAGGGAATTGATCCTATTCCGCAGTATGAATTTGTTGAAGCACCATTTGGAAAACAACACTGTCGAATTGAGTAAGTTGTTTGTTGTTTAGTTATTAAGTGATTATACCTCTTACAATTCTGGGAGAGAACCTAAGTCAAATCTTTTAGACTATGTTTTCTCTATAATTTTGATGGAGTAGATGGATTATGATTAGCAGTAGAATACGGGACAAAAGTTTTATCTCATTCGTTGTACGTACCTGCATCTCAGTGTTGATATTCGCAATGAGACACAAACTTATTAACTTATGCTTTCACCTCTCAACGTTTCGTTCATTGATTCTAGATAACCACTATCTTACACAACGTGTTTAATGTTTATTGACAAAGATTTGAGTTGTTTTGTTGTTGATATTCAGGACTGAATGTTAATCGATCTTTCGAAATGATGGCTGATGACCAATATTCATTGTTCTCATATGTGGATTTTGTGTGCATTGCCTCGATGTTGCCATTTTGTTACGTTTTATTGAGTATTTAGATAACCACCTAGTCTCACATTCTGAGATATTACTGCTAAGCAATTGGACCAGTTTTAATTTTCATTTTTTTTATTTTACTCGCTAACTGCTGTGTTATGTTTAGAGTAGATCAATTTAATAGTTCACTGTGCACTTATGTTGGTTCTTTTTCCTACATCAATTCTGTCAGTCTGTTGAATACAAGATGTTCACACTTTATATTACCTCAAACACGTTCAGAAAAGAAGTGCAATAAACAAGTCAACCCTTTTCTCATTATACTTTTTATTTGACATTAGGCCATTTTCAAATATAGTAAATGATTCTTTGACTGTCTGAGAAAAACGTTACTCGTTTATCCACTATAAATTTATGTGTTCACATTGGAATTATACGTTTTATCTGATGTTTATTGTTACTATCTGATTACTCAAACTGAAGTGGGCAAAGGTGGATTTGGATCTATGAACATTAGTGTTGTGAATGAGATATTATTCAATGTCTACCGAATATTCCTCGATCAAAGTGCTGGTTATTATTTTCCTACTCCGTGTATGTTATTTCGGCTAATGCTTAGTCTCTCAAGCGTAGACCAGTCATACGCTTCAACTGGTAAGGTCAACTTTGATTTGAGGCAAAATAATCTTAACTTCAATTTATCTATAGATTCGCACATATATCTCTAGTATGTTGGTGAAACACTCACTGTAACCCGTGGAGGTCGTAGGTCCGATCCATGATGATTAGGCATACTGTTGAGGAGCCCGATAATAGGCCAAAATATTTATCCAGTACTTTCTGTTTTGTAATAGTTATTTTATTAAGATTTATCAGTGATGTTAAATATTAAATTTGTTTTAATTACTTAATATATCTTACATTGAATAAAATTTTACGTTTTCTTTTGTCGTTATTGTTACTAACAAAGATTGCCGTTGAGTTCAGGTACTGTGACCGCGGAAGCTCTTGTTTCCGGTAAACGAAAAGAAGCTGTTGTTGCTTGTGCTTTAGAAGCATGTCAACTTTTAGATCGTTTGGGTGAATTTGATCCAGATAAAGGTATGTAGTGAAAGATAGATATACTTTAAATAATTGTAATTATTGTTTATTAAGTAACAATCGATCTGGGAACTTCAATTAAATAAAAATACGATGAATTTATTTCGTTTCATCACTTTCTCTTGAACTAAGTGGATACACGCTAATATATATAATTAGTTTCAATTATTAACGTAATTGAAATCATAAACCATTGAAAACCTAGAAATGGCGAAAGTGCATTTCATCCTAATACGGAACCTCTTAACAGTGCTTTTCCAAGACCCTGCACGCGGAAATCGAACCCATGATTTTGGTCTTGCTTACAAACCCCTAATCTCTGGACCATCAAACCGGCTTCTAACGGTGTTAATGTCTAACTTCGATCGATCCACGACACGACTTAACTTCACTGGTTCCCATACCAGGAATAATCGGCCACCCAATGCTTCCAGTTTTCCGATGGTCGACTAATTTAGATCAGTTCGTGAATTCAATGAAATTTTACAGCCACCACAACCTTTCACTAACTATTAACAGGTTATTGTTAGATGAGTCGTCAATCAATAACAAACAAATGTGTAATGTAATAGAATTTGATAATCGAATTTTTGGGAGATGATTCTTTTCATAATTGCTTGAGGTAATAATAATAAAATGGTAAGGCTATATTGAGGCAATACGCACAGTATGCACATATGCCAATTAGAGACTGACCAGTTGCAGTCCTAACAAATCGATTGGAAGATTCAAACAGGCAATACTGAATGAATAATAAAATGATTTTATTTTATATTACGACAAATAATATTTTGCAGTTAGCAACGGAAAAGAGAAAACGTAAGTTTAATTTACTAGATTGTGACTAAAACTGATCGAATGGAAGAAAGTCTGATTGTGTATATATGTTCTAGGACCTGACGTAGTGTGAATATTCGGTCTATACAGCCACGTCCAGGTCGGAAACCAGCCTGGTTTTCTCCAGACTGCTCTTCATAAGCTTTGGTTAGGCGTCGAAGTATATTTAAAGCTAATATTTTTGACATTATTTTAGTCAAACTGATTTCTCTGTGATCGGCATAGGAGGACTTTTGTCCTTTCTTATAGACTGGCACAATCAGTGATTGGGACCTGTCAGATGGAATTACGTTTAGCTCCCAGATTCAACCTAAGACCTCAGTCAATCTCGCTGCTAGTACTGAAAGAAAGGTCAAAATGTTATCTCAACAGTTGGAGGCTAAATTCTGACTCTTTTTAAATACAAAGATCAAGTTTATGGTTTCTATGAAATCCCATAAAGTGTGATTTCACTGTTCACTAATAAATTTGAAAGAACTCCTCGTCCAGTAGATAGCGTGGTTATGAATTATGTGGAGATTTGTCTCCTCAAAGATGTATGTATTTTGAAATGCAATCATCAGAATGAATAGAAGCCAACCTTTCTCCACTTCCAGTGTATACGCTTGTACATGTATATCTACAAGTTTGAAACTACTCTATTCATACTACATAATGTATTCTAGTCCAAACAATCGATCACTGATTATTCGAACACATTCCATTTCTATGAATTCTATTCATATTCAATTGTTCAAGTTTAGCATTAGTAGTACTAAGTGAAAATAGTCTTGTGTTCGTTTATATATGTTGTTCTAATTTACGTTTACTGTTAATTATTCTTTTAATTGTGAAATTCGATACCATCCTACTTTCCTTCACTTATCTAATTACTTTAAGTTGCCTTCATGGTAATACATCTATTTCAAAAAAATATTCTTACAGAAATTAAGACCTTTTATTCCCTATAAACCATTTTTTATGTTTTCTACGAAATATCGAAATATTGTTTTTACTTAACTAAACCTAACACTTTAAAATAATCTCTTCTAGTTCTTTAAATCTTTGTTTTTTCTTAAATTTTTAGATCGTTCCACCGCTTTTAAATTCACTCGATCACGAGCTTATTGGGAAGATCGTGACTATTATTCATCTGATGAAGATACATATGTTGATCGAACTGGAGCTGTGGAGAGAAAACGTTTAAATCGTATGCGTCAATTAGGAGTGAAAGATAATGATGAAATTAAAACAACGAGCGAACTACTGGACAATGATAATGCTGAAATTCATATTGAAAAGAAAAAACGAGTATCTCAAAATGCAACCATAATGACGATGGTATGTTTTGTAGCATGTTATATTCAGTGTCCGTTTGTGTGTCTGTGTATATGTACATGAGCAATCAAAGATGATTCAATAAATATTTTCTATTGAACGTAGTCTATAAAGAAAATACTCTTGAAAATAAATTTATTTTAATTCATTCACCAAGTAACTACTTAGCTATGAGCCACACCTTAGTGTGAGGGTTTAACGATTACCTGAACAGAAGTTTAGCAAGGTTCGAACCAGGGACTTAGTGGCAGGAATTCGAACACCCTAACGATTAAGCCACTGTTCTAGAAACAAAATACAAATTTTCTTGTATTATGTAAACAGAGTATTTGAAATAGTGTATATATGTCACAATAAGATTTTAAATCTTTTGCTCAACCTTTACATACATATATCTTATCATTGTATTTCGTTGCTTTATTAAAAGAGATTAATAATTGTATGTATTTGTTTATGACTTGGGTATGCCTACAAGTTCATTCATCAGATAAATGTTCAGGAGAATTTTTTTCAGAAATAGTTGACATCCTTGATATGCTAAGCTAATTATTATTATATTGAACATAAAATGCATAATTTCATTTTCGCGAATTTGACTTTGTGGACAAAAATACTCTATTCAATTTTATGATCATTCGTCCGGTTTAAACAAATAGTTTGACAGAAATTGGGCGTTAAGCACATTGAGGACATTAAATGTGAAAATTGTATTTGAATAATCTCAGTAGTTGAAATTAGTATTTTTCCAACATTTCATCCCCCAATCTAGTTAGAACTTCTTCAGGAGACAATATAATCGACTTACATCCAACTTATCATCCAATAATTATTATTCTACTCGGATGCTGATTAGTTGATAGAAGAGGATTCTGTAGTAGGCAAACTCTATATCTGAATTCCGAACTCGAGTAACTGAAATAGTACACACTTAAATATTTGATAAATTAGACCACAACTCACTTTGAATGAGAGGAATACAATGTATGCCAAATTAAACCTTTTAAGGTACATAAAGTAGATAAAAGTATGATGTTTACGCTGCAATAACTTTAAAATAGGAGTTATGATAGTAGTATCTAAAACAGACTGAAGCTTGCCATTAAGAGAATAAGGAAATCATCTGAACTGAATGATAGTTGTTAAAACAGATTTAGAATTCAGTGTATTGACTTTTTATAAAGGTTGCTTTCATAATTTGTAATTTTTTTCTTTTCACAACAGTTTTAAGTGTGACCTATCCCTATTTACCATGGACAATAGCAGATGAATTTGAGAAATGATTATTTATGAATAAATACGCTGTCATAAACTGTTGTTCTAATCTGATAATACCAAGCATCACTTAAGCCTTTTATAGATTAACTGAAAACCGCGACAGTTTGAAAAATTGTTACTCATTAGCGTATAACCACTTGATTTGAAATTACTAAGTTGCAAATTCAAACTCCATCCCATCCGGTTAGGCTTGGATTATTGTTCAGTATTATTAGCGTTTATTTTTGTAGTGTTAGATTTATACCAGTAACATAAATCCACAATTCATTTGATAAATACAGCTTCGTACACTTTGTTTCAAGCCATACTCTAAGTATAAAGTCTTATAATCACATCCGGTTATTTATCCCCGAATGCCCTGTCAGGGAAGTCCTACGCACTATCTTCTTGCGGCATTACTGTTGTTTACAAAATTAAGAGGACAAAAAGCGAATGTCCGGCGCTTTAACTAGGTTGGTGGACACGGAGAGGCCAATAAGGAGAGTTGGTAAACCCTAATCCCAAACCAATGGTGCACATAAGCTCCAGGATCCTGAGGGAATAAAAGGAGTATAAACCTATTTTCGATCAATGGCTACCATGAGACCGCATCTCCTAATGTTACTCCACTGGTTTGTGGATTTATTTAATTTTATTTAAACACTTAAATATTGGTACAATGAAGCACCAGATACACATGCGCCGCACAATTCTCATTTGATTTGTGTAAGGGTTTGTGGATTAGACGTTTAGGTCGAAGGCTCGGGGTATGGCCCTTTAAAAAAACCCTGCTTCGGTCTGGGCACCCAGGCAGTATCACAGCTCACACACAACAACTACCAACATTTATGTGTTTAAATAAATAGAAGTCGGCTATTCTAATCAAGGTAAGTGGAGTCGGAGTTCGCCCTTGCTACTTAGTAGCAGGAAGTTGAGCGCCTTAACCACTAAACTACCATTCAATTTTATTATTCTCACTATTATTATTATGCATTTATTCTGTACATGAGCATCAGATTATCGTGTTATCAATTCGTTAGCTTTCAGAGTTAGAAAAAATTGGTGAAGAGATTGTTTCAATCGAAGAAGAACTAGAAGCTATCAATAAAGGTATATCCTTATTTTTATATACACTTCCTTTCATTTTAATATACGGTCTTTCTCAAGTATATATTATCGCATTGTATTCCGTTTACTAAAAATTACAATAATCTCAAAGACCTTCCACGATAGATCACACTTTCCTACATGACTCATCTCAATCTTCAGATTGACTTATTAGCTTTGTCACCTATAGCTTTCCTCTGACCTACTCATACATCATACAATTTCGTGCACCAAAGTAAGTTTTAAATAGACAACGATTAAGCCAGACAAGAAGAATTGAATGGTTGCTTCATCGTAGTACGAGACTCTTCCTTCGACAATCCATGCTAACTATATTACTTTTCCAGGAAATAAATTTAGTGTAATACTAATTATTGTACAAAGATATTTTTAGTGAATTTTCAACTCTATGGATCTTAAGTTGTATTTGAATAACTCTATTTAGTTTAATGTGTGCATTGAGAAGAACCATTAGTCGTTTTCAATGGTCTCTGTTCATTCATAAAATGATGTAAATTCCTACTACTATAATATTAAATACATTAACATTACATACAAAAAAAATCCTAAGATCAATTCAGAAATTTTCCTGAATCATTACTCGCATCATTTTTAGGGAATTTTCTTCCTTAGTGGTAAATCACTGATATAAAGCGTATTTATTATCTGGCCTTATTCACTAAGAAAGTCGATTTTGTGTAGCTTTGATTGAAGCATTCGGTTTTAGATCAAGTTGCTCAACAGTTGAATCTTTCCTCTTGACCTATTTTTGTTTTGCGTATCCGACTACTAGTAGTATCTCCAACACTTCATATTAAACAATGTGGTCCACTGTCGAGCCAATAAATTCTGTACTTGACAAATGAGTTAAATTTGCGGAACTTTACAACTGGTTTTATTTATTAAATGATATCGAAGAATGTACTTTATAAAATCGCAGTACATCTGAAGATGATTTAATTCAGGCGTTGTACATACAAGTAGTAACTTGACGGTTTTAAGTAAATATAAATTTTGAATATTCTATGGGGATCTTTAAACCGTTAAATATAAATTGTCATATTTTCGAACTTATATGCTTATTGAATTTAATTGGATAGCCGTTGTATCTTAGATATTTTGATTCACCTTTAGTGACTTGCTACTAATTACGTGATCAAAGTTGTCTTCTTTCCCCATTTTTATCAATTTTTTCATAAACATTCTTTTGAAAATAATACTCATCATTTGAGTCGTTAGAGTTCGATCTCCGACCAGGAGATTCCCTTGTTGACTCAAACTACATAGCAAGGGAGTCCTGTTTGGTCAAGACATTAACAAAATGAAGTCATTTGGCCGTCGTAAGCAACAATAAAAACATATTTGGGATGCATTTCTCTCCTCCTTAATGTGAATTGTTGTTTCAGCTCCGTTCTGCATCAACACATAAACTAAGAATAGGAAGTGAAGTAGTCGAGTGTGTCGATCATTTCACTTATCTTGGTGAGTTGATGTTAGTCGAAATCTCGGCACGAATTCAAAAAGCTGTGTCGGCGTTTGTCAATTTATGTCACTTGCGGCGCAGGCGAGATATCTGTCTACCAACCTAAGGAAGAGTATAATAGTCAGCAATTCTGTCTGTTCTACTTTGTGACTGTGAAAAATTAGCCTTTAAAAATAGAGGATATTCGTAGGTTACTAGTATTCAATCATAGGTGTCTTCGAGGCATTGCTCATATATTTTGCAACCATCGAATAAGTAATTCTGAGGTTAGAAGCAAAGCATTAGGTAAGGATGTCGAATCGATTGAGGAGGTAGTGAATTTCTAATGACCGAGATTGTTATATGTATTACATATGCCCACCCACCGACTACTTCGACGCATAATAACAGCTGGTTTAAGAGTAGGTTAGATGAAACGGAGGCGCGCCCAAACCAAGATGTTTCATCAATCCATGAAGATACTGGCTAATAGACTAAACCATGTTAATAGATGTAGATTACCTGATTCGGGTCGGCCTAGTTATCGTAACCAATGGTTAGAAACTTTTTGTGGCGTGGCTCTGAATCGTTCGTATAGACACAGATATATTTACTCCTTGCCTTGTCTTATATCCTGGGTTTCTTAATGATTGAAGTTTTTTATTTCATTAATGTATATTTCGTCAAATCGTATTTGGTTCTTTTCTTCCCAGAATTCTCATCAAAGGAAGCAAATCCATCACAACTTGACGAACTAGAGGCCTATATGAATGCATTGAAAACAAGTCAGTTGTTGTATAAATAGACCTTTTAATTTCTCCTCATATTTATTGGGAAAGTTTGTGGTCATATAAACTCAGTAACGTAGTTGGCAATTAATTGTGCTTAAAGCAATAGATCACTGATTTTTAAGTCTCATGGTGAACTTCAACACTGAGATCCAGATACATCTAGTCAATGTAACCTAAACAGGATGAAATTCTCATCTCGAATCCCACTGGTAACTACTATGCAACTATAATAAAAACTTGTGACTAGATTGTAGTATAATGACAACTCACATAAACCAACGAAGACAGATTCATTACACCTTAACATCAAAATTTAGCGGAAATCTCCAAACAGAGTGAAGTACCTAGCTGTTTTCGAAATTCATCCAATGGGCGCTATTTTTTTTAGTCCAGAAACAGTATTTTAGCGGCACTCATCGGTGTTTAACACTTTCTTGCAATTTCGAATACGAACGACTCTCTAGACTTGAAATTTCTCGCGAGTGGAAAAGAAATTATATATCTAGTTAGAGATGTCATTTGTTATGTAGGGTAGTGTTTGGAGCTTATCAACAGGAAACCCATCAGAGAATATCATTTCCCTCAAGACTACAAGTACAAAGGTTTATGTCTATTACCTCTAACCACCAACTTACATCTCAACATTATGTACGCTATGTCGAGTCACTTAGACCAGTAGCCACACTACAACTTAATCGATAGAATTCGATTAGCACTAAGAAGAACTTGATATAAGTGACATTGGTTGCTACTTAGTGATCAATCAATTGTAAAAGGAAGTGCTATATTGTTACGTACATAACTAAAACACCAACAGAAAAGCTTGTTTGAAATTTTAAAAAATTCATCTGAATAATGAAACATTTCTTCTGTTTTCCTCTGATCTATAGACTCATCTAAATGTGCACAACGATCTAAATTAAAAGCACGTTTAATTTCATTACGTCAAACTGAACTACAACTTTTTCATCGTGCTGGACTTTCAAGAGTAGGCAAAACTTTGAAACAACTTAGTAATAGACAAAATAACAATTCTGAATATATTTCATCATCCGATGCAGCTGCCGCCGTTCGAGCAGCTCGACAAAAATTAAATAATGACGCTAGTGAACCACAAAGTGAAAATGATCAACAAAATGCTGTTACATCTGAACAAAAGTAAGCTTTTTACTATTTCTGTTAAATGATCTTATTATTTGATAAATATGGTACTGCTTTTAAGTGGAATAATTTACAGCAATTAACACTAATAAGAGCAACCATCAAAAAGGCACATAATGATAAAAGTGGGCATCGAACAGGCGAATAAAATTTTTAAGAAATTGGGCCAGTTTACCGTTTGTCTGTTTATCTTTACAATCAATCCAAACCTAATTGTTTAAACGCTTAATAAAGAACTTACTTTCAACACGTACTGTAATTTTTTTTGAATTCAGCAACAGTTCATTAGTCCAGTCATATTATCTCATACTTCTATTTCGAACAGTATAGTTGTAAATATGGTTTGCTTGCTTCACAATTAGTATGGCGTTCTGTGATAATAAGGTTTAGACAATGTATCTTTTAAAACACGGAGTTCAGCGAAGGAACCAATTAATGTATCTTTTCCCTTACTATTGAATATTCAATTGATCTGATATTCTAACCTACTTGTGTTATACGATTGATCTGTGTCTGTATAAGTGAATATGAATTATAATTTGACAACACAGATTATTCGAAACTTTGTTAAACATTTTCGGAATAGACTAAATTATAGTTCTGTTTTGTGATTTGATTATTCTTTAATATAAATACCCTATTTATTCTACTAATGTACGTACTACTTCAAGAACGATTAAATGCAAATAGAGTTAACTAAAGAGGTATTTTATTTAAGTTAGATTTTCTGAGTTTTTTATTTCATAAATTGGTGTCATTTCAATGCTGACTATCGATCGATGCCTTTTCGATAAAAGTTTCACAAAGATGTTCGTTTTTGGGGCGGTTGTTTTTTGTAGACTTTTGCCTATTAACTTCAATTCCTGCTCAAAATGGAATAACATAATTAGATTAATAGAAATAATAAATTATTACTGAATTGGAAAAATTACATTACTTGTTGAAAGTAGATTCTTTATTGAATGTTTAAACAACTACCTTTCTAACTGTTCATAAAGATAAACAGACTAAAGGTGAACTGACCCCCATTTCAAATTTTAAACGATTTTATTTCCTTGTTCCGTTGTCCCCTTTATTACTATGGGATTTTAGATAGTTGTCTTTACTAATCCTTACCCTTATTGATGTGCACCCGTTTGCATGGACATCATTTACAACAGCAGGTGTAACATGTTATTTATAATAAATGGATTATGACTAGCAGTGGAGAATCCATGACTTGCTACCGACAGTCATTTACATTGTTATATGTTGTGATTACTTTCTACGTTATTTTCATAGGAAGCTTTCTTTTTTCCAAACATACCTATGTGTTATAAGCAACAGATACTTCACAAGTTGAGAATTGTAACCGATTTATATGAATATATTGTGACATTGGAACCGTTTTTTCTAGATAAATCGTTACTTTTGAACTTGAATTTCATGCGTATTTCAGTCATGCGATTGAACGGTTTTATACAATTAACATATATCGTTAACTTTCAGAGGCTGCCTCGCAGCCACGAAAGAGAAGGAAAATAGGGAAACAAGAAGTACACTCTATAGATATTCGACCATCTCCCATCTATCACGTATGGCCTAGATTGACAAACACTCGATATGTCTACCTCACATCGCAATAAGATCCCCCTTCAGTGCTCTGTAGGAATCGTTCTCTTTATTAATGGTTCTCATACATCTATTCTACCGAATAAATTATTCAATCTTTTATGCTGAATCAATCAACAATTTCGTCATGTTCTCCTTGAAAAATAAACACTACGTTATATTAGATCATAGTCTTACTGTGGTTCTTTTTTTTGTTGTCTATCAATTTACAATCTTAGAATTAAAAATATTCGTGCAGATAGAAATGCATTAAAAAGAAGTCTACAAAATCATGCCAGAGTAAGTAATCAAATTGGACATTACATTATTTTTTTTTTAAAAAACTATTAACTTCATTTTAAAATATCTGAAATGATCCAATATTACATTGAAATAATTGTAAGGCATTCAATATGTACACAACGATTCATGCTTGTGCATTAAAATCCATGAAAATTTCGGTAAATCAATTTCTTAAGGGAGACAAAACCGTGAAATTCATTTAGAGGAAATATATGTAAAGGCTTTATAGTAGGAATTCAATCAGTTATAAGTAATGTAAAAACCCTGCACATGTGTATCGGTTTACGTTGCCACAGCTCATTAGCACAGCTGGATGAAATTATCAAGATAAATGTCAAAAATAAATGTAAAAATATGAATGATATTAGAAAAGATTGGTTGTAGACAAACATCGTACAGCGCCTAACCAAATAGTCTGCACCTGTTAACATGACTGACTCCAACAGTCAATAATTTCATGAACTGATTGCATGTCTTAGATTAGGCGTGCCTATCTTTTCTCCAAGCTATTTTCACACTAGCAAACGTCATACGTCATAATAGGCAGTGGTTAATCATACGGAACACATGATATTCAACAATTTACAAACAAATAGTAGGTAATGTGATTTAGTGACCTCGAATAGTTTTTTTTCAATCCTTGGCAAGTTTCTCATCATTTATAGCTTAGTTAATTGATCTAGGTGATCAGAGAATTCCATGGAATCCTCTTATCTATAACAACATTATTTTTGTATCACAAACCAATCTCTTATTTAAATTAAGTATTCTAAATGTTTCAATATTTACGCATACTGCCCTTAACAAACTTTTTGAATAAGAATATCGTCTGTGCATTGAAAGTCGATTGGAAGATAATTAAACATCAAGTCAAACATATTAAAGTTTAAATTAAGAAATCGCTTTCGAAGACTCGTCTTCATCAGCTCATTAACACTGGGACAATAAAATTCCTAGAATAACATTGATAGATGTTAAAATGAATTCATCTTTTATTATGTTATAACAATAATGAAAAAATGCCACCCACACACACTCGAATTTAAAGTCCTTTATAAATTCTGTATGTGTCGGTCAGTCAGATTGTTAAATACTTTTTTAAATGACAAGGTAGAAGGTTTCTTGCTCAAGTGGCTACTTTTAATGATGTTACACTTCCTAACCTAAGTAGATTATAGTTACAAAGCATTTTTGTCCTTATAAAACATTATCGTCTATTTGAGGTAGGCACTTGATAAGGGCATTCAGAATAACAATCGAAATACTCCACGGTTTTAAATCATCCAGCTCGAAGAATGAAATACGATTAAAATACACTAGTTCCAGTTTGCATTTGTTATTGTCACGCTCAATGATTAAAACATTGGTGTTTAAACCTAAAGCTTGCTGAATCCAAGTTTTAGTGTCAATATCACCAGTAATGAAATGCAGATAAATTCAGCTGACTAGTCTTAAATAGTACAAAATGTGCCCTTAGTGAATACTACTGCTATGCTAATCACTTTTCAATTAAAATCATAAAGGGTCCTAGGTTTTTTGAAAAAAGTGATTGTTTTGAAGTTGTGTTCACCCTTAATCATACAATTTAGCTACAAATCTACTACACCAGTTATTATTTAACTCCATATTATTCGTTACGCTTTTTTAGACACTTTATGTATCTCAGAAGAAAATCGAAGTAGACAAACCATTTGAAGTGGAAAATGATGATGATGATGATGACGACGGTGACATCAATGTAAACGATATTGGTGAAAAAGAAGAGAAACAAAAAATAGAGATGAGCATAGACAGTGAAAAGAATAAAATTGATACCGCCATTTCTGTTCCTCAATACAAATTGAACAAATGTTCAGATTCTAGCTATCAATCAACTTCTGCCCTTATTTCTACTACTATCATGAATATTGTAAATAATAATGTCAATCCTATAGATGATCCCAGTATAACTATGAGTAATGAACAAAGCGTGGAAGAAAACTCAACTGAAATCAAATTATGTAAGTTTTAAACGATTTACGAGTTAACTCTTTCTTCATATGTAGCCGATTAGAATGATATTGATCTAATAACAAAGAAATAAATAACAATGAACAATATACATGAATATCGGATGTAATTGCTTGTCACTGGTTTACCTTCCAGTAACTTATTTCTTACTGTGTAGTAGTCACATAAAGACAGATAATAACTGTTGATAGATGATTAATCTAATTTCAACACTATAAATACTTGCATATTCTTCGTGTTTAGGTCAGAGTAATAACCGTGATATGTGGTTAGAGAATGTAATTGATACACCCTAGAATCGATGAGATTGGCACAAATGGATTCTTTGTATATCTTCTCGAAGTTAAACTCCAGTACACCCTCATAGCGTTTCCCCTCTACAACTATTTTTCCAAGATTTGTTCCTTCTCATCATCATAGCCATTACATCTCGATTAGCTTGCTATTCGTTAATCACATATTGTTTTGTTGCTTTGTTATTTTAACGCCGGATGATGTACGTTTGTGCCGAAGTTTACATCCATTATGACTGGCTAACTGATCACCATATTCACTTATGGTGCCTAAATTTAACCTCATGTATTAATATTGGAAATAAGACATATGACGACAGTTATCACTTTCCGGTTGCCCAACTCTCATTGAGATACCTGAAAAAAAACTGGTAAGACTATGATTTATGGAAGATCTTCAAGCGATGCTTAAGTGTCTTTGGGATAATTCACCTGCTTACTGGGGTCAAAAGAGGGTTATAAATAAGTATGAGGAATTACGACTGAGAATTAGCGTTAGAACTTAAGGTTAGGAATTAAAGTAAGGGTTTTCACCACAAACTAATATCAGTTATAATGTCAAAATGCTGTTTAGCCATATGAATAAATGAATTCTGTTCACAAATCCAAGACCTGAAGTCTGATTGGTTCAGTGCAGAGGACGCTAGACCTTGAGATATAGGAAAAACAGCAAAATCAAATTGGTAATAATCAGTCAGCAAACAGCAAAGGTAATGTGGAAACGTAAATTAGAAAAAATTTAATCAGGGTTCTCGTTACAAGAAAGAAATTATAAGTATTTGTTGACAAGAGTTAGACAATTTAATGTCTCAGGTGTCAGACTGGGCATAATTTCAAATAATTAAAGCAGATGTAGCTTAATTCACATATTTGTTCAAAACCATAATTTACACACATTTATGGTGCTACTTTCTTGCCTGAAATGAAGGAAGTTGATAGTGAATTCTACTTAAAACCACAATTTTTACATCCAATAATCTGATTAATGTCTTTAATTACATTTTACTACTAGTAAACTGTGCCGTTAATTACATTGTCCTTTCATTTATTTAGGTGTCGATAAAAAGCAACAGCCCGCCAAGGTGTTGGGACCAACTTTGCCACCATCTCAAAAACCTCTTGTAGGTGATTTCCTTCAATTACTTACTATTGTCATAATTAATTGTTTTTCTTTACAAACTGCATTCTATCTCTGTGTGAGACTCTTCTTTCAATGATCTACATTACGCGGTATCTTAGGTGAATCACATATTTCACATTCACACCATGCTTACTTCAACATTACTTTAAAGTGGAACTGAAACTCATAGAATAACTCATATAAATTGACAATACTGTTTCCAATGAGACCTTTATTAGATTTTACTCTAATATACAATTATTATTTATGTGATGCATATATGAACAATATTAAGCCGAGTGGAGCAATTCATATCTTTTCTTCATTACTACTTCATGTTTAATGAGTCTTATTGTAACTTATTGGCCAGATCATTTTACTTGTTGACTGAAATGCATATGAAATTCAAGCTCAAAAGTAACGATTTATCTAGGAAAAGCGGTTATAAATCTCAACTTATGGGGTATCTGTTGCTTATAACACAGGTATGTTTGAAAAAACGAAAGCTTCCAATGAAAATAACGTGAAGAATAATTAAAATGTATGATAATGTAAATTGTAGTCGGTACCTATGTCTAAAGTCAATATTGATTAACTACAATTCAGCAAAGATAAGGAGCACAAAAATATGAAATCTCCTGAGCTTCAACAAAGATACATGCGTAAACTGGAAGTACCTATTACAGTTGTTGAGAGACTAACTATAAAAATTAAAATGAGTATCACTAGTTCATGTATAAACGGGAGAGCATTCCACAATACCAACCATACATTACATACTAGTCATTGAATATTAATAAGTAGCATAAAGCAGTACACAAAAAATAAAGTTGGACAAATGTAGAACGAGAGATGTAAACGAAGTGAACACATTGAATTAAGAGCAATATTGTTCGCTTGCATGTGTAATTCCGATTTACACATTAATGATTATTTCTTCCCTAATACTTACAGAATAATCATATTTTATGGTTAGTGGTCGGGATTAGAGCCTGTTGAGATATGAAATAAGATTTATTCTAACAAGAAGAGTTTTTTCCGGCGAATTCATTTTCAACCCTGAACAATCGCGAATCTACATTTGTTTTGTTATCAAAATGATAATAGTAGTGCTAATAAAAACCTAGCTAAACACAGTAACAGTGAAGTAAATAAGCAAATGCATAAAAATGTTATTTTCTTATTTATTAAAGGAACTAATAAAAGTGGCGCTGTTAACCATATTTAGCAAAGTTTTCAATGATCACTATTTGTTATGCCCCGATAACAATAGTGAATCGTAACTTTGGGATCGATTTATGAACCAATATTATGCATATATTTTTTGTCGTATAATTGCTAAATAACTAAGCTATTCATATTCGTGTTCCTCTTATTATATGCTTTGTTTTGACCTATAGACTATCATTATACGATTTAGCATTCTTGAGTTATCCCTAGTCTATTAATTACTGCCTCCCACATTCACAGCCACATTTGGCTGCATCTTGTATAAACGTTATTTTCTATTTCACTGGTACGATGTGGTATATGATGATTGGTATATAAACTCAGTATGTTTGAAATACAATGATTCATACCGCAGAGGCTGTTATTAGTGTTCTGGACTCAACTAGCTCAGTGAAGCAAAAGCAGGACCAATAGGTATTCTAGACTGCTTGTACGGTTTTCGTATCACTGTTCCAATCGATAATTCGCTGCTCTCTGATTGACGATCTTATCACGCCATACGTTAACAAGGCATCCACTCGGCCACAAGTTATAACATTAACATTGTCATTATTATCATTTTGATAACAAAAAAAGTATAGATTTGCGATTGAACAAGATTGAAAATGAATTCGTCAGAAAAAAAAACAATTATGTTAGGGTTAGTTTCCAATTACAGTTGAAATTCATCGTCTTCATTGTTTCTACTATACCATGTGATTTAGTGTAAGCTTATACACATGTTTATGGCAACTATTAAAATGTATTTGACTAATTGAGAGAATTCATTTAAATAAATTTAAGATAAATCGGATTAAATTTACGTGAATTTGCAAGTTAAACGGGGAAATCGTAATTTTCTTTTTGGAAATATAACACTATTCATCAGTAAATATTATTACATTATTTCTATTCTATCTTTATAATCAGGAGAAGGTCAATAAGAAGACAAAAGATTGTATAGAAAATTATTCTGACGATTATGTGGAATGGTTTCCTCCATCAGGTCAGTAAATATATTTAATTTTCATCATCATCGTCATATATATACAGCTTGATGTTTGTTATATTGTTGATTTAACCAATTAAATTCCCGCCAAATTTTGCCTGCAGCAGCATCGTAACGCTACACTGTATTTAACATATTTGTATATTGTACAGTTAAATATCATGAACTTTGTTCTGAGTGCTAAAATGAAAGCCAAACTGTTGATACTTGTATAATTTTAGTTGGTACATGCTCTAGTTTATCGGACAGATTCAAAAATATATTGTTAGTTTAATTACCAGCCAGTAGATAAAACTAATAATCAAGCTTTAAATATTGTTTTTGCAAGTAGAATGTGAAGCGTGGCATGGAAATCAGATCCAGCAAAACAAATAAAGCACTGAACACATTTAGTGTGCACAGGACCTTTCCCATTAGGTGTACTCGTGCATACCATCCAAATCAGCAAATAATGGTTCAGAAACCAAAAATGTTTAGATGGGGATGACTGGAACAACTCACGTCTTAAAGCCAACGCCGTCGAAAAACACTTTAACGAAGTTGTAGGTCACCTAATAATATTGTTGTGTAAACGAACCTTCGATGTATGTATAGCTTCTACATTTTCCGTTCAATGTTCAAGTGTCGAAGATTGTGGGATTGTCTAGTATGCGTCCTGGTTAGAAGTACCTCAAGTGTGCAGTGTAATAGACACACAACAAACGAATGTGCATAACCTATCCCTTGTAGGCTAGTCATTCACTTCTAACAAAAAATAGAGATATTTTGTTGTTTTATGAACTTAGTTATACGAAAGTTGTTCTCTTGTCAACAACCATATACTAAGTTTAAACAAAGTTCACCTTTTAGTTGTTAAGTATTTAGTTTTTTACTATCATTTCATTTCGATTTTTCAGACCAAAGTGGGGATGGTACCACTTCTCTTAATGCTAAATATGGATACTAAATGCATGAGAACAATACAATTCAAATTTCATGAAATTAATTATGGCTTATGAACTACAAACTAACTCTTTGTAAATGTATGTACATACAATCTTTATTTGTTTTGTGATTAAACATTTGAACACAACAATGATTGTTTTTATTTTGCAATTTACATCAGTAAAAGAGAATTACAAGATAAAATTAAACATTTGAACGAATTCACTTAGTATTATTTGTTTGAATCTTCCCATTGATATTTTTAGGACTGCAACTGGTCAGTCTCTAATTGGCATATGTGCATGCTGTGCGTATTGCCTCGATATAGCCTAAATTCACAGGCGTGGTAAGTAAAAATGGATAATGGCTAGCAGTGGAATCGAAGACGCGCGTTTCGTCCTATTTGGGACTCGTCAGCTGGATGTACCTGCATCTCAGAGTTGATGTTCACTCTGGGACTCGAACCCAGTACCTTTCGCTTCAGGACTCAGTGGCCGAGTGAATAACGCGACGACGTTTGAAGCGGAAGGTACTGGGTTCGAGTCCCAGAGTGAACATCAACTCTGAGATGCAGGTACATCCAGCTCGTCCCAAACAGGACGAGATGCAGGTACATCCAGCTCGTCCCAAACAGGACGAGACGCGCGTCCTGGATTCCACCGCTATCCACTATCCATCTTTGCTTACCATTTAAACGAATTGTTTTCTACAAAATTATACTACTTTGTTGTCGATTAGTACTGTATAAAACTTGACATAATTTTTCTAAATGTCTATTCTGGAAAACATATCGTACTCAACATATATCCGAAAAAAGTTTGACAAACAGCAGGAAAAAACACTACTTTAGGTACGGTTCAATGATAATTGAAAGGTAAATGTACGGTACTGAAATATCGTCCTTTAAGGGGAAACAAAATACTTATACCATGCATGTGATGAACAGATAAATATGTGAGCATGAGCTGACCAAGATGCGTTTATAAAAAAGTAACATGGATTTATAGCGTGAATATGTGGCTTACTGATCAACATGCATGTAAAATAGGAATAAGCAAGTTGCTAAATTATACTGCATTGGTGGATGTTACTGTTTATTTTATTGTCGTTTATAAAAGGTGGCAAGTCAGTATAGTACACGTTGTCATCGGTATGATGAACAAATGCTTCGAATTCCTGTTGAATATAGCTTTATGGTGAGGCTTACTACAAGCAGTCCATGTGTATGACTTCCTGTCAGACTTTGCGGATAGCCTACTACAGTTAGTGTATTGGGATATAGTTATTCGTTTATGCTATCGTCTAAGCAGATATTTCGTCAATAATGGACTACATCGTGGTTTTTGAATATTCACACCCTATTAATCACATTCTTTTCTATGAAACTGTGATAGATCTTGTTTAATAGTTGAAATGACTCAATATCATTAGTGTGGTGAATGCTACTTATGTCTGTCGACACAAGTATTATGTAACACCAGTCGGGAGTGCAAAACCTGACAGGAAAAGGCTAAGAAGATCGAGTTCAAGAGAAAGGATTGTGGATTAGAAAAATCATGCAGAATGTGAAAGGCAAATGTTGGGAATTTGCAAATGATATATTCAATGTATGGTTCTCATATTTTTCCAAGACATTCTGTAATTTTGTATTAAACAGTAAATCGGTAATCACCATGAGTTATCGTTCACAACACTAAAGGTAACATGCTCAAGAATAACTTATCAGTAGTTGTCAGTAAATTAGACGTTGACTGTAAGCTAATGATACCGCGACTATTAGACCTCCATGTTATTGATGCTCCTGAGGTCATAACAATATTAAACATTTCATAAGTGAAACAGTTGCGACTAATAGCATTGGAAGGTATTCATGTTATATCGTAAATTGATTAACGTTGAATCTGCATCAGGGACCTGAAGGTTCTGGGTTTGATTAATGATTAAGGAGATCGGGGAGCACTACTGAGGGCCCTCGTACTAGGACGAAACAATTGTCCAATGCTCCCCAGTTTTTGATGACATCCCAAGTGGGACCAACATCTGTGAGGAATACAACCTGAGATTTATTAATTTCCACCAAAAAAAATTAGACAACCCGACTTCCAATAAGAAGATAAAATCTGGAAAAGGATTTTTATTATTAATTAATCTTCTGTTATAAAATATACATTAGTATTTAAGGCAAACAACTATCCTCAACAATTTCAGTTCTTGGATAATAAACTTTGAAAGTATACTTTTTCTGGAGGCCTGAAAACTCATTGGAAAATTCCACATGACCAAATCGACCTGGATTAATAAAACGACAATTACCAGTAGTCACTAATCCTGGCTGTGATGCATTTAAATTTGCCAATGGTTCCGGTTCAATAGCGACAACCAAGTTAGGCAATGGATTTAAGCTTAAAGCTTGATCATAATACCAATAGACAGGTGCTATATGACCTAGAAGTGGTAAGAGATGTGCTTGGCTAGCTAAACAACGTGCAAGACATTGACCTAAATATTCATTTGTCGTTTTATACTTCTTTGAAGTAGTATGTTGTTTTATTGATGGAGTACTACTACTAGTGGTAGCAACTGCTTCACTATCCATATCAACCGCCGTCTGAAATTTAGAAAAAATTTATAATATGCATTCACGAAACGATATTCTATGAGATAAAGTAACATATAGAAAAGATAATGGAAGATTTAAATCTTTGACACCGGTTGGCTTTCTTGAACTTTTTTTTACAAAGCTTCATAAATAGGCAAGTAAATTTTCCATTTGATCATGAATATAGAAGGACAGTGACAGACAACTTGAGACACCAATAACGTGAACACTGCAGTGATCTCTAACTAAACTTTTGGGAACTTAAAATCCCCAGAACTTACTTGGTAAATGGCTTAATTTTGTAATTTTATTTTGAAAATTTGAATTTAGCTGTTTTCGCGCCAAAAGCGCTCTTTTTATCTTTACGTCATATTTCCCACTTGTAAGCTATCTTAAACGTTATTGGTCCATTGTTTCCTTGAGTGTGTTATTTTATAATGATGCCCAAGGACAATTTGTTGCTGTATATATACGTTTGATTTTTTCCCCTTATGACCTGCTTGTACTCGGTTGATCACGGAATATATATTCCTTTACTTTGTCTTGGACTTTTTCATCTAGTTAGCGGGGCCTGGGAAAACAGATTAGATTAGCTTATCGTGTCATT